CTCTTTTCCTTTTTGATAGTAGGATCATTTTATAATGGATCTGTATGGCAGGAAGACTAGCATAGGCCACAAGTTTGAGCCCTGGTACTGTGGATGAAAAAGATTTCTATGGAAAGTAACCTTGTAGGGTAATCTGATCATAAATTCCTAACTGGGCAGGTTATGGTCATGCCCCAAGTATATAACATTTTTAGTAAAAGATTTTATCTTTGCCTTAAACAAACCCTGTCCATTGTTTTGTGCTCAAACTCATAAAAATTCTTGACAGGTTTGGACATTTCTTACTTGACAGTATCATGCAGAGCAGTGACCAAAGAACAATAATGATCTTATGGAAATGGTGTTTCTCTTTGAGGGTTAGAGTATATACCATGACAGCAGGAGTTCACATCTACTGAAGAGTGCTACTGATCATGTATGCAGAAGTAGGATACAGCTCTGTTAGTTGCCACCATTACCCTATTGTTAATCACAACTCATAATTTTGTTGAATCTGATTTGATTACAATGACTTAGCCTTTATAAAAAGAAGAAATTCCTCAAAATATATAGGCATTATAAGTTATATATTTGATCATTGATTGATACTCTATTGTGGGTGGAATTCAAGGAGTCTGTGAACTTGGTTGGGGTAAAAAATTATATTAAAAGATCTTTCAATTAGCCTCTAAGTAAAGTTTAGAATTAATTTCAACTGTGAATGTAGGCAACAAACCATAGCAGCATTAGCAGTATCTGTGCCTTTGTCACCTACAGAAAACACATTTTTTATATCCTCATACACTGGCTACAGCTATCTTGAAATTGTTTAACATGATCACTAGTTCAAAATTACTGTAGACCTACTACAAGATCGTATCTAATTTGTTATTTTTAAAAGCACTTAATATCCAATTAAGATAATTAGACAATTATACCTTTGTATTTTATTTTATGCATTTAAAAACATTATTCTGACAAGGAGCCCATACGTTTGAACAAACTGCAAAGGAATCTGTGGCAAAGAGCCACAGAAGGACTCCTGCTCCTAACTCTTGTACTGATGTGAGTGAAGTTAACTAGAACCTGTGATGCAACACACACAGAATTGTGTCACAGCCTTATGTAATCATGATGTCACAGGTTATGTAAATCTTTGGCCATTGACTTTTATCTCAAACATGAGAGGGAACAAAATGCAAAGGAGCATATATTTTCACAAGTTCAGGCAGAATGACTTTCCTTTGTATTAAGGAACTGTATGTTCATATAACTTAAAAACAATGGCATCTTCACTGACTTGGGGATCTTCTTGC